TAATAACAAATATTTTAACGTAATATAAAAATAAATAAATAAATATATATATATATAAACTATTTTTTTTTTATTATTTAAGGGCGAAAAGAATAATGGATTTGACGTGTTGTATCATAACATGAAGCATGGTGTAATCGCCAGCAAGGAATTGGCTGAATTTTTGCGAGAAAGATCAGCCATAGAGGAAAACAATTATAAACTTCTTAGTAAGGTAGCGAAACAGGCGAGCAATAGCACGCAAGGGACATTCGCACCTGTCTGGGCTGCTCTGAGAGGTGCCGCCGAAAAACTCGCCGTTTTACACTTTCAAATGGCCCAGCGAGTGTCCGAACTCATAAAAGATGTGTCAAAATATGCGGACGAATTACACAAGAAACATAAGGCTGTACGTAATTATATTTTTCTCTTTATAATTCGTTGATTAATTGTGTTCTTTTATTGAAAAATTTTAATATTTTTCTCATTAATTTGATTGCGTCTTACACAGTAAAATACGGTATTATCTTTTATTCATAATTACATACTTTGCTGTACTACAATATGCTATCAGATATGTATTCCATAAATTATCAGTCTCCGCCCACAGTTGGGTCAGTAGGTTCTCATCATCAAACAATCAAGTTGGCAATGTGCAGAGGTCTTATCAAAGTGTACACATAAATATGATTAATTGCACATACAAATCAAATTGATTCGCGTTAATTTTTCAATTGACATAGTTTAATTAAAGAAATGACATACCGACAACATCTAGGTGAAGGAAGAAGAATCGTCTACTTTAGAAGTTGTACAAAGTATACAAAGCATTACGGTAACGTTACATAAGGCGAAAGACATGTGTATGCAAAAACGCCTGGAATTAGAAAAATTAAGGAAGGACAATGCCAGTCAAAGGGAGCTGGAGAAGGCGGAAGGCAAGTTCAAAAAGGCACAAGATGATTATAGGACGCTGGTGGACAAGTACACGGTCATACGAAACGACTTCGAGGCAAAAATGACTCAAGCTTGCAGGGTACTAATTCTGGATTAAAATATAGAAGTTAGGCTTTGCGAGATAATATTGCTGCGCAAGCGATTAGCGAAGCGTACTAATCAATGTACGTTTTCGTTACTAAGCGGTTCCAAGATGTAGAAGAGACGCATCTGAAGCACATGAAGGAATTTCTGAATACATACGCTGACGTTTTGCAAACCAATCACGAGCAAGTTGGCCAGGTTCATATCGACTTCAAACGACAATGCGTTGATATGACGGTGGAGAAGTTATTAGAGCAATTCGTTCAAAGTAAATACACGGGTTTCGAAAAACCAGGTAAAAAGAATATTTAAAAGATTTTTTCATCTCTGTTCCCCTCAGTATCCATGACATATCTGTAAATCAGGTGTGATTGAGTACGAAGAAGTGATGACGAGTTTAGCGGAAATGACCAGCCACTCTCAGTCAGAAGGCAGCGTAGAGACACCTAAGGAAACGTCGAAGAGCACCAATGGCGAAACAGGCGTAGCCGGTAACAGTCACAGTTCAAAGAAAGATCAGGGATTAAAGGGGGAGGGTAGTACTTTGAGGGTACTGGACGGGGAAAGGGGGAGGGTGATATTGGAAAAGGATAGAGAAAAAGAAAAACAGAAGGAAAAGGACAGAGAACTGTCACATGCACAAACCACCAAGGCTTCCCGCCGTACTACCTCGCTACTCAACCTGTTCATGTCCAACTCCCATGGTAGGTTTCTTTCTCTCTCTATCTCTCTCTTTCATCGAAGTTACATAAATTTTTTTAAAGTTTCGTTATCTTTTTAATTGCAATAGTTTGAATCTATCTTGACTTTGATGCAATGAGATGCTACATTTTCATATGAGACATGTTTTTTCCATTTTTTGAAACATTTTACATTACATCAATACACTCTTATATTTTAAAATTGTTACAAAAAACGAATATGCTTTTTGTTCTTTTTGCAGACCAATATAAACATTCATAAAACAAGGCATAACATTGCATATGTCTAGGTAGACTATTTTTTGTTATTTTTAATTTTATATCTGTTAGTATACCATCATCGGTCACATTATACACTTGTCCAATTGAATTGCAGCACTCGATCACAGATATATTAATTCGAATATAATAAGCAAACAATTTTTATTGATTTATTTACGCTTATGTGGTTGTTGTGTTATACTTGCTTATACGTAACGATCTAACATTAGGTGGAGGATGATATAGAATACATTGTGTTCCAGGGGGTTTGTTTTTTATTTTAATTTTAACTGTACTCTTGTATGTATATTTCAAATTATGTATTTTTATATGTATATTACATGTCAAGGGGGGGTATATTATACGTAGATACTTTATTATAAAAGGCTATACTACTTTATTATTTTGTCCATGGAAAATAAATAGAAGAACAATGAGTTTGTTTATGCAATTAATTATCGTGTCAGACAGAAAATTTATTATAACTATAATTTTATAATTTTTTATACAATTATGATATTTAATTCTGTCTTCGATTTTTGTATATTTGTGTATACAATTGCTCTTATGCGTCGAATATTATTACAATTGTATGTTCAGAAATGCGAAACTATGTACGAATGGAGATATATGATTACTTAAAATATTCTCACCCTTCTGGAACGCTCTAAAATACCATTGAAAGTTGCAAAGGTCATTAAAATTTGAATCGGTACAACTAACGTGCATAATAGTGCGACACGGAGCGAGAAAAAAAAGGGACCATCAGTCGATGGGGAGGTATTCAAAGACGTGAGAATGATGAGTGTTGTTTCAGACAAACAGAAGCAAGCAGGGTCGTCTGGTTCGGCACCTGCCACTCCTCAAGGGAACAACCTGCCTCCTGCTGTTCCACCTCCCAGCATCTCCAGGAACCCTCTCAGAGGATCTAAATGTAACAATTTACATTTTATTCCTATACCTCCTCTACCATACCCTCTGACTTTGTTGTTAGAATACAGTATTCAACATACATTAGAGATTATTGATACTGACGTTAGCTGCCGAGTATATTGATAAAATAATCATATTCTGTATTTAATTTTCGTTGATACGACAATTATTGTCATGCTTCTGTTCGTACGGTTTCTTATCTCGGTTACTTATCTCGTTTTCTTTCTTTTATTAAAGATATTTAAAGAATATGAAACGTAAAATAACTTTGCGCACAATTTTTCAACTATGCCACAGTTGTCACTTTTTAATTGAGGATTTTATTTAGACAATCTATTATGTGTTGGCTCGAATATGAATGATCAACTATTAATTCGAAAATTTAATATAAAAATATTTATCGTAAATATTGACACATAAATTTTCATATATAAGTTTATTTCATATATAAGTTTATTTTTTCATATTTATTGATTTTTAAAATTATTTTCTTTCATAATTTCTAACAGGATCAGTCTTATTCGAGCATTTCCTATGTAGCTCTTTATCTATAATGTTTCTCTATCGATTGTTCTCTCTTTATGGTGCTCGGTAACAAAGACATTATTTCTTTTTAAATACCTCTTATATTTTATAATTGAACAGAATAATATGGTTAAATAAATTATCTACTGACTTATAGTGGTTGCGCGTATTATGATTCCTCCACTGTGCTCACTTTTAGAACAGCGATGTACGTATACTAACATTGTCTAAACGCTTTAAATTAATGTTAGAAATATATCTTTCACCAAACAAATCATTTATTTTAACATTAATTTCTGCTTCACATATAACATCTATGCAAAATATTTCTTCACTTTAATTTATTTCTGCGTTTGAAATGGACCTAAGACTGAGAAGATATTTTGAACTAAAGGAAGAAATATTTTTTGTTTGCATTTTACTAACATTAAAAAAAAACGCTTAAATAGAATATAGGCACTATCTAGCATTAGAAATGTATGGGACTCTAATTACTTTCGTATTTTCATAAAGTTTCATCTATAAATTGTTTTTCTAACAATCCTTTCTGTGGGAATATATATATATATTATCCGATGGCGACATACGATTTGCATCAATTTTTACACAACCACGATAAGAAAATCCATAAAATATTTGTACATATATTTTTCTATAATTAACTATATTATCGAGTGCATTCGGTTTATTATGAAATTAACATTCGCTAAAACTTCGAACTTTTATATATACATTTTTTAATATAACCATGGAAGATTAAAGATTAAATAACATATTGTTAAAACATAAGTATAAATATCATAGATTTTAATGGATGTATTTAACATAGCTTCAATTTTGTCTTTCCATTTATTTTTTCTGTCTCTTTATCTTTTTTCCGATAAAATCATAAGTACATGGGTTATACAATCGCGGTACATACAAGCATTCATATACATCTAACTTTTTTACATGTCATAAGTGATCTAAATGCTAACACGTAACACTAATGACCGTCCTGAATAGACTTGTAATTACATGAATTGCAGCATATAATTATATTTCTAAAGTTCTTTCTGTAAACATCAAGCAGTTGAGCTAAAAAGAAAAAGAAATATAACTAAACTAAAGGGAGTTGGACTTGAGTAATGTTGAGATACAAGTGCGGGGTTGGCTACTGACGGGGGCCTCAGGTGAGCCGTTTTTATAAAATTCCTAATTCGCATGGCTCACGTGTTTATACTTACATTTATTTTCCAAGTGCAGGAATATCTTTCTTTCTTTTCCAATAACATAATATTAATTCTGAAAACAACTATTATTGCGAACTATGTTCTCGTCGATGACAATCATTCCCGTAGCATCTTCGGCAGCATTTACATTCGTTTCAATTGATGGATTACTTTTTTTATCTTATTAGAATATTTTTATATCTTATAGAATATTTCTTTTTCTGTAGATTACTCTTCTAAATATTTATTTATTTAATGTCTGAGACTATTTTTGCATGCAACGTTAGATTGGCTTGCAGAGGATATGTGTTCCTCTGTGTATAATCTTCCAAAGAGAGACATGCACGGATAAGAATGTTCAAAACGAAATGCGTTTATTATAGTGTCAATGTAGATTTAGTAATTGTTAGAAAAACAATTTAAGAAGAGAGTAGACGATGCAGATACTGTAGGATTTTTGATGGTGATGGTGCGTGGGATATCTTCATATTTCTACTAACGTGACGTGCTCTACTCCACTACTGAATTTTATTTTCTGTATACTTCACTCTTTTATCATCTACCTTCGTTCGACGTAGGTATTCACATTGTTAGTCGTTGTTTTATGAAACGCTGACATGCGTTCCCTCGAAAAGGTAATACTTTTAAAGATATTGAGTTGGAATACAAATTCATAGAGCGAACTTCAAAATACAAGAAATACATAATTTTGTTGATAATGAATGAAAATTTGAATTAAAAAATGAGATTTTAAAAATTAAAGTCTTTATTTTCTGAAAAGTCTTTCAATTTACTGAAAGATCTTTTAAGTTTCTGTGAATTTAATCATTTTTACAAATAGAAAACTACAAGCTGAACAATATTTTTTACTTTATGGATCTGTGCTAAAAAAAAATTTGCAAAAAATTTTAACTTTCTAATATGAAAAAAACTTAAAGTTTTTTCTACAAGATCATTTTTTAAATATTTCTAAGATTTTTGTTACTGAGTTATCGCGGATTAAATAAAAGGAGACCTTGATTACAACTCCATTCAAAGTTATCGCGCGCGTGTACCGCAATTAAAAAAAACAGATTCTTAACGCTAAAACTTTGTTGTATCGAACAGTATAATTGCTAAAATTTTTTAAAAACACGTCAATATGGTACAAATGAAAAAGTGACTATGAACTTTTGTTCCAATCCAATACATTAGAAATACGACTTCTTTATAGTGATATAATTTAAATCGAGAGATATTAGAGATATTTTAATATAGTTGCAAATTGATTTTTGCAAGGAAACTCGTGTCAGCATCATCAAAGAATATAGAAGTTAATTAATTAATTAGAAATGCATACAGGAATGCTAGTTAATACGACGTACGTCGATTTGTTTCGTATTATTTGATCATGTTGTGTTACATTTTGATCACTTGGAAAGTAAATTCTTTAATCTTAATTTTTCATTAGAGTTTTTTAAATGTATATTATGTACTGCCCATTCAAATACTAAAATGTTAAAATATAACTTTTTGTATAATTTTTTTTTATACAGACAACAACAGCAGTTCTTGTTTAAACTTTACACTGTAGATTTGAATAGATATATATTCGTGTAGATAGTAATGCAACTATAGAGTAGATTTTGCTTTTTATTTTATTTATAAATAATTTAGTTTTATTATTAATAGAAATGTCATCTATTCCATGATATTTTTTTAATGCTAACATCGGATTTTTTTCTGTTATATTTCCATGATATTAATATGAAATCATATAAATATCTTATTTTCCTTTGTGCAAAATTCTATTTTTATAATAGTAAATAATAAAAAATAGATGTTAAAATTTATTTCTAAGTGAACAATTTATAAATATTTGTAGTAAATTTAACAAGAATAGTATATTAATTTCGCAGATACAGATGAATTCATAATTTGGTGTAACTGTAAGAATGTAATTTGCATAAAGCATACGTTTAATAAGTAGCTAGTACATATATCACAGTACATATACCATCCTATTGTCTACATTTGGGGTATCCACGACCAACAGGGTTTCTACGCAGTAGGAGAGAAAAACGAAAGGAGAAGAAGGCGAAGAAGAAGAAGGATCTCATGGACACAAGCAGCAATAAAGAAGAAAAGTCTGACCTGTCAGTACATGCATGCACAGCAGACCTAGTGCACATAGAGTCAGTTTCATAACCAGCAGACAAAATCGATCTTACTCTAAAAAAATGATGTACATATTTAATTAAAAGATTTAACGTAAATTAAATATTTTTGCTGGATGTGAATCTTAGACTCGGAATGCTTTGTTGTTGGATATTCTATTTGTTCGTTTAAGATATATTACATATTATAATTTTTTTTATCGATTATTATCAATCACAATATACAGCATACATTAAAAATGTTTTGAACATGAATCTGCAAATGCTTTCTTTTCATATTATAGATGTTGAAAGTTGTATTGGATATGCTATGTTCAAATGAATTGTCACGTCTGTCAGAATGATAGTATTGAAATTAAATAGCCGTTTTTCGTAAGTTTATATAATCAGCATTTCGAAAATATATTACTGAGCTAAATTATATATTGTTTCTTTTTTATAATGTCTATTTTTATAAATTTATTTATATTCTATTTCTTTGAACTACATGGTGATAAGATAATTGGTTTCCTCTGTTTATTTTATTTCGTCTATGCGTTATATTCAAAATAATGGATATTTAATTTCAATAACTTCCTGATTATTGTCCTACAAGTGTAAACATCATGCAATGTCAATATGATAGGATGTTTTAAATAATGATAATTAAATACTGAATAACGATAGGTATAATTTTAATTTTCTTTATCATGGATATGATCTTTCCTGAATTATATTTTAGTATATTTATTTATCTTAGTTTATTTATTTATAGTTAATAATTACTTAAAAACAGATCTTTCATATTTATTTTTTACCTTTGGCTTTATATTGATTTTAAGTTGATATCAAGCAATAATGAAAAAAGAAATAATTTGTATTAATCATCAGATTGATTTTTTGTTTGTTGAACCGATATTAAATTTCTGTTGAAAGCCATATATAAAAGTTAAAGAATTACAAAATTCGAACAGAAAGCATTCATGAATTCATGTATACTATTTCTTTATCAATGCAGTAGAATATTTGATTGATATTTATTAACTTCAGTTATCTCACGTATCACGCCTATAAGCGCAACAATGTATTATTTTAGCACGCTTTTAGCATGAAAGAGTTTTTATTATGTAATGCACTGGGCCTGCTGGAACTTACAAAAGTATATTATTTTAAATGATTTTCACGAACGCAATAGGGAGGACAAAGAAGACAGCAGAAAATCAGAAACGCCGACACCAGAGGTGGACGAAGATGGTTTTTGTATTAGACCGAAGCCGGATCCATGGGAAAATGAAAAGGGATTTTATTCCAGTTCGGATACTGATTCGGAAGATGAGAGAGAACGTAAAATACGAGTGGAAATAAAGCCTCTTAGCAATGGTGGTGCACCCATGAGCGCTAGTGTAGACGAATTGAGGGCGACAGTGGAAAATTTATCTTTATCACCTGCACCAACAGTAAGTTGTACTTTCTATTAAAAAAAATCTTATATTATGTATTATACATTACAACTTGCAATTAAAACAATTATTCTATAGTTTAGAAAATGATATGATATATTTAATAAAATTAAATACTTATCACGATTTTATGTTTAAATCATGAAATAATATTAATAGCACAAAATATAAAGAAATCGAGATATGTAAAATAATACTTTTATTTGATTGTTAAATATTATAATTGTAATT